CTGCGGAGGTGGTGAAATAATTTATAACATGGGACTTTAAAAATGGTCTGTTTTTTTTAAATTATATATATATATATATATATATATATATATATATATATATATATATATATATAATGCAGGTAATAAATCCGTTGGTATATAATGTAAGTGTATCCTAGTAATATAAAATATTAAAACTGATCCATAAAACAGCTCAATGTATTTATTATAATAGAGCCAATACATACATAAACACACACAAACCCTTCACACATAATATATATATATATATATATATATATATATATATATATATATATATATACTCATGTAACGCGATATGTCGTGTATTGTGTGTTGTAATATAAGCAAAGTGTATGTTGCGATTGGGGTGTGGGGAACAACTAACCGATTGCTCTCCCAACAACTATGGGAATAATAAGGGGAGATGGGAAAGAAATTGGGAGGTAACAAAAAAATAACACATTGCCTCGGGAACCACAGCAACCTGAGCAGGTACCGCTACGATGTCACTAAAAAGTCTGAATACCGTGATGAAAAAAAACGTTCCAAACTTAACGAAAACAATATTTTATAGCCAAAATGTTTATGTTATTATTAAGAGGAAAGATCAAAGTATTATTTAATTATTTTATTAAAAAAATTTTTTTTCATCGTGTCTAGCTCGTTGGAAATTTTAGTTAAATATCTTGTTATTTGGTTTTTTTTTTCGTCAGCGGATCCGCCAAAGGTGAGTATGAAGAAATTTAGCGTCTTTTTTTGGCCTTAAAAACAGATTGTTTTGGAAATTCTTGCAAAAAAACAAATAATTTTGGGATTTTAATGAAACTTTCAGAACTTATTCGCAAATGGATGAAATTATTTCAGACATGTTTTTTGTTTAGAACGTCATGTTAGAATTTTTGGGTACAAAATGAGCTGACTCATTCTATAGATCACCAAAAGAAGGGTTAACCAATCAGAAGACTCAAAATATTCAATGCGACATGTATAAAGGCAGCCGTGTTTTTCCCGAATATTCACTGCCAGCCTTTGATATCAAAGAATTACGGAACAGCTGCTGGTGGTATTGGCGATATAGTCAGATTCAGTAGAGTGTCTGATTCGTGACTGTTAATCTTTAACGTTGTTTTATTGAACATATTACGTACTACGCTGTATTCTATATTCATAGACTATGGTTAATATATCATGGTAAAAATATTTTTTATATCTTTTCCCCCCACCCCTTACTTAATTCAACGGCGTAACTTTTTTACTGATTTTATTAGTTAAAAGCAGAAGACTTTTAAGAATATAAATCATCGAATTTTCTTTGTAAAATTGAATCACCCCGTCACCGAAAATCAGTTTTGAATTGTAACATATAAAACCCAATAAAACTAATAAATTATTATTAAGTAGAAAAGCTTTTAACGATTTTTATGAATAATATATATGAAGGACAATATTGTCTGAAGACCAAAATATTTTTCCGATGAAAAATGAATTTTTACAAGAATTGTTTTCTTTATTTTTCATTTTTAAATACAAAATATGATAAGGTTGTTAAATACAGTGCACTTCGATAAAAATGACTCACCTGATTTTTTTACTAAAAATATTTTTTTGTCTATTGTTTTGAGGGTTAAAATAATTTTTAATCTTACTAATATAAAGACCCCTTCCCGACCACCTAGGAAAAAAGTTTATTCACCCAAAGGTATTCTATTGATATTTATAAATTTGAATATAAATGAGATTCAGGAGAAAAAAACTCTGTGCAAAAAAAGTGACTAAGATATCGCATTCTAATGATTAAACTGGTAAATTTAAAGAACTTTTGACAAAATATTGAAAACTATTTTACAATACACTCAGAACAATATTCTAGAGAATTCTAGAACAGCTTAAATTAAATCTAGAGTATTCCAGAATATTCCAGAAAGCCTCATGCAGTATAAAAACAGCTTGAAATAGCCACTCAAGTCACTAACCAGATGAAAGGGTACAAACACGCATCAGAATCACTTAAAGCATCTATTATTGCCTTCTCAAAAGCAGGCAAGTCTACGAAAGAAATTGCAGAAATTACCATAGACTCGCAATCAACTGTCTCTCGAGTGCTTAGGGCACATAATGATGCAACTCCTGCTCCAAGGAAGGAAACAAGGGGACCAAAGAAAAAGATTGATGATAGAACTGGCAGGGTAATCAAGAGAGAAGTTGCGAAGAACAGGACTATAACTAGCCAAGAAATTGCAGCCAGTCTAAGCGAAGAGCAAGGTGTTAGTCTTGCCTTTTCAACAGTCCGCCAGAACAAGGTTACAAATCTTGTTAGAACAAGGCTACAAATCTTGTACACGAAGGTTTAAGCCGCTAATAAGCAAAGCCAACAAAGCCAAGAGACTTGAATGGGTTCACTATTACAAAAATTTCACCGTAGAAGACTGGAATAATGTTCTTTTCTCCGATGAAACGAAAGTTGAGCTAAATTCAAAGGATAAAGTGAGTCACT